CACTCACTCACTCACTCATGAGGTGCTGTGTGTTGATCCTGTGTAGTGGATATGATTTCTAATCACACTGTCTGCTGATTTATTGACACAAAGACTCCCAGAGTTTATTACCGCCACATGTTAGGACATTAATGTGTTAGACTGGGTTACACAGTCCACAGCAATTATCCAGATTGTGAATCCACAATCAAGAAAAATAAAAAACAAGAAATGAAAAGGATCGACTCATCTGTGATATAAATGTGTTTATTTCCTGTGTTTAACAGGCCACGGGCTGAGGTTCAAGACCAAGGCAGAGAAACGGAAAGCAGAGGAGAAGGAGCAGGCGGAGAGATCCACAACAGAGGTGGAGAGAAGCGACCACATTCCTCAGCCTCTGCAGGATTCAAGAAGGGAACTGGAGGAGCCTCGGCTGCTGCTATGAGCAGGACTGCAGCCATCTCTGCGTGCACAAGCCACACACTCACTGGAGGGTGGAAGCAGTGCATGCAGTAGTCGGTGCATACTGTGTACACAGCTGCTAAGTAGTCTGTTTGGGACTGATGGTGAAGTGTCATCAATCAACAGACCAAAAAATAAAAGCTTATTTTTATGTAAAAGGGATTTCTAGGTGAATAAGCAGTCGGGGCGGGGGACTGGCAGTGGTTCAAATATAATTTATTTATTTTTTACATTTTTTTTATTTTAAGGACAGATATTCTAAAGACATTATTTTACCCAAAGTTGTTGGTGAGTCTTCACAGGGAAAGATTTAGTAACTTGTTTCTAGCAGATGTGTTACACACACATGTAGATGCTGCATTGCTCAACTGCTGTTCACTGGAACACTGTGCCAACATATACATACATATATAGCTCAGGGAGAGCACGGTCTCCTTTTGCTTATTTCTCTGTGGAGGCAGAACACAGAGTTTCTAAGTACTTGAACTGTAAAAGGATCCTGAAGCAGTTTCGATTGTTCAAATGCTGCAACTGTACTTATGGTACAAGATGTTTAGTGTGCTTAATTTTGTATGTACAACTCAAGCACACACGTTAATGTCTGTCACGGTAATGCTTTGAAGCATTCTGATAAGTTAGGACTACCTAACCCATCATAGGGACTGATAAGTGTCATTTTCAGGCTCATATACATTACTTTGATTAAAGCGTTCATCTTCTTGTTTCAAAGATGACAGAATCCATTTTAATTCAGTCAGAAGTAAAA